AAGCTCTAAACGGAAACTATTTAAAATTAATTGGTATTAAAATTATAAATTACTTATTAATTAATTTATTTATCTTATTTATTTGTTTTGTTTTATTTTTCAAAATCTAATTTTTTTATTTCATTTTTTTATTTATTTATTTTTTGATTGCTATGTAAGTACAAAATTAACAAACGATTAAACGAAAAACTGAAACATTTGATTTTAATTTCTATAACTATGCAGGGGGCAGAGAGCGCTATAAGAGTTGACGTTTTTTATGGAAACATTTGGACAAGGGGCAACAAAAATGAACCCACTCGTAAGCTGTCTATTTAAGTAGAGTTTGTATTATTGGTAATGCGAGCAAGTGAGCCATAGCGATGCCTTCCCTTGCCCCGTGCCAGCGCAGAGCGAGCATAAAAAGCTATAGAGAATCTAGGGGGATGGGAAGGGAGGAATGGACTGCAATAGCAGAGTCCAATGAGAAAAAGGCAAAACATCACGCATAAGTTTCATTTTATTTTGATTTTTACGACTGACCAAGGCTGTGACAGTGCTCTCCGTGTGTGTCCCACCTGGATCACTTGGTAAATAACCAAGCGAGAGGCAACAAAAATCAAGAAAAAGTAGTCACCAAATGGCCAGCAGAAGCCCCTAGTAAAACTATGGAGTGGGTGGCTGTTGGGTTCAATATGTGTGTGTGTGTGGGTGGAAGGGTGGCTTGGTGGTTGTTGTCCAAAGGGAGAGAGAGAGGATGAGAGTCGAGAGCTAAAGCAGAGAAAATGCCTATTTACGAGCTCGCATGTGGCTGGACACATGGTAATCATATATTTTGGTCATATCTGTGGACCATAAAACCAGTGTCCTTATGTGCCTGTCAATGAGTTGTTTCATGACATTTATTTCGCTTGTTTCTCGCTCGCCGAGGGTTTCGATGGCTCCGGCTGCTGCGTGCAGATGGAAAATATTTTAGTGTCCATTTAATGTCCAATCTAAGATGAGCTCGTAACTTTTGATCGAATAAACGACCAACACACACACACTCGCACACACACACAGGCGAGCACACCTCACACTCTGCGGCAAGGTAAGAGACCCTTGGCCCATATATAAATATGTCAGTAGTTTGGGCGCTGGTCAAGGGGTTCCAGCTGGAGCCGTGGCACGCAACCAAGTCCCCAGGGATAATACTTTAATTTCCTCACTGATGCGCCCTGAGTGATAAGTAGAAGTTATTTGCCAGCTATTTGGTTATTTTATTAGTGGATTTCTTTTGGCCGCGCTCGGCTGGCTTAGCTCAAGTCCTGCCAGCCTTCTATCCTGCCAGCCTGCCGACTCGACCCGCTGTCACTCATAAATATTTAATTAAAATCAAAATTAGTTTTTCCACCACGCTCACCTGGCCCTTCGGGGGTTCGGGTAATGAAAAGCGTTTTGTTTTGAGCCGCCTTCGCTGCCTTCGCTGCCATCGCTTCCATCAAGTGCTACCGGCCGCAATGTCACGCCTGGTTATCACAAATGTAAAACAGCTACAACGATGATCCCAACACGGCCAAGCTGCCGTTGCTGCTCCTGCTCCGTCTCCTGCTCCTGCTGCTGCTTCTCGTTAAAAATTAAAATCGCAACGCGCTTCCAGCTCGACCCGCCGGCACATGTGGCACGCCTCCTGCCCACTGCCTCAGCCATTCCACTTGTGGCTTTCATCGGCGATTTAGGTGCAGGCCTCACGCACTTTGCGCTGACTTTCCGGCAACAACGCGTCGTAAAGTGGATTTACATGCGACGCTCCTGAGACCCAAAAACAACTTAAACGGAGAAACGTGCGGGGTTCTCTTATTTGTATTTTATTTTATTTTTTTGTTTAGCCATGAATTGAGTTCAATTTGCGGAGCAGGCTCTATCCAGAAGCATATAGAAGTTGTTGTTGACAAGGAAAATTCTTTATACAGATATGGAGTTGACTATTCCCTGACTTCAGCTGATACTTGATTTCGAAACTGTTTTTGTGTATTATAATAGAGAAATATAATAATAATTATAATATAATATGTTTATGAATAATGTGTATATTTGGTAATGATGGATAATGCAACTTCAATTACATGAAATTTCCCAAAATGTAAAATTTAACAAACAAACAAATATGGATAACAACTAAAACAAAACCCAAACTAGAAGGCAAAGTACTGAGTGGTGCATTGGGTGGCCCAGAAGAGTTTCTTTCGCATGCTATAGTTCAGGTAGATGGAGCTGAGTGGAATATCGCGTCTCAGGCACCAGGAGATGGTTATGCGTGGATCCAGATAGTAGAAGGTGGCCTCCACCAGAGGCTTTGTCTGCAATCGAATAAGGCGCAGCTTGCGCTGCTCCGCCGCTCTGTTACGGGGAATGAGGCAGGGCCGCTTCAGGGCTGGCAAGGGATCGATGCGGCGGTGGCGAAAGCCGCAGTTCATGTGGACCGCCTTGAGGGCTTTGTTGTAGGCCGTCAGCTGCTCGCAGAGCGTGGCGCTCAGTGGAATCTTGAC